CGCTGTCTGACGGGGCAGGCGGTGTTCGTGCAGGGTCTCCTCCAGAAAGAAAGCTCGAGGGCTGAGGGGAAGCAGCCCCGCGGGCCAGGTCACTTCCTGGAGCAAAGCAGTCGGAGAGAAGGGATGCGGCCGGCCCAGCTCAACCGCTCGCTGAGAGCTCATCGTCACGGGCCGGTGGGCCCGCAGAGAAACGCGTCCTCACACTGTGGGCGGCAACGAGCGGACCAGGCAGACTTCTCCTTCTTCCCCCAGGCTGGATCCAAAACCTGAAAGGAAGCGTTCAGCACCTACACGTGCAACACCAGGACTCTCGGGAAAGAGACTTCTCTTTCAAAGTAAACGGCAAAGTATTACTTGTACAAAATTACTGGCCACTACGTGAAGTATCAAAGCTCAGACAAGCACGTGGAAAGGTTCAGGCTTTGCTGTTCTGTTAGGAAAGGGCGAGGTTCCACCTTTATTCTCCAGGAAATCTTTGTTCTGTTCAACCGGGCTGCGTTTGGCAACCACAATCACCACTGCAGTCACTGCGCAGCTCAGGGAAGCGTGGAGTAACCGTGTCATTAGGCGGGGTGGATGCTGGCTTTCTAATCACAGCTAACGTAACTCATCACGCTGGTCTCCAAGGCACAAAGAGGCAAGCAGAGGGCTGAGAGCACAGAGCTTGTTTCGCTGCAAGCCTCGGAGGAGCCTCACCCGTTGCAGAGCCAGCTGTGCGTGACCATTCAAGCAGTGGCCTTAAGCTGCTATGAGCCATTCAGGCTTCTGATTATTCAGCATGTTGGGGAGGAAATGCTGTCCTGAGAGCTGTGCCTCCGCTGGAAGTGGTCCCTGTGCAGCCACAAAGAGAGATGGAGCCGCAGCTATTTTATAGCTACTTCAAAGGCTGCCTAATTCTGGTGCTGACCTAGTGAGGGCAGGTGGAGCTCCCTGGCAACCCTGGCGTGTTTCCCCAGGGCTGCCAGCCCCTATCAGATTGCACACCTGATTTCACATAGTGGCTGTTAGGAGGCTGTCCTCAGAAGACTCTTGCTGAAAGCAGGGGGTGAATTCCTGCTCACCAAAATAGTGCTCTGTGCTCACCCGTACAGAGTAAAAGATACCGTGTCTCACAGATGGCTGGAGTTGCCAAGAGGAAATAATGCACAGATATCACAGGTTTCACCAGCGTCCTTCAGATCTGGTTTGCTGGAATAACTTTGCAGTCAGGAAGGTCTTCCTGGGTCGTGGCCACTTACCTCCGCCCAGACCATCAGCAAAGTGATCCTTGAGCCAGCCATGCCTGCACCCTGTTCTCACCAAAGCCAGTAGGATCAACAGGGAAGGATCTCATGCTAAGCAGTTCAAGGCCATGCCAGATTTTCACAGGCAGCACTAAGGAACAGGGTGTGTAGTGCCCTCCGCATGAGATAACATCAAGGGATCAAAACTTAAGCCTACAGTCCCGGCAGTGTGGGATATAATAGGTAGAGCAGTTAACTGGCTGATTTCCCAAGAAATACGGGCAAATAAGCAAGAAGCAAGCCATGCCCACGTGAATGCTGGTGGACCTGTGAGGTGGCAAAGCGATTTCATGTTTCTGCAGCCTGCAGAACAGCAATATTGATCTCCACCCCCTGTAATCCTGAACGAGGTCATTCTTACCAGCCTCCCTGAAGAAGGCAAATGTTGGTATTGCTACTTTTCCAGGTGACAGACAGATCCAAAATGGCTGAGGTGCAACGGCTCAAAGGCCCTTTGCCTTTGAGCATCCAGGGGTAAATGAACCACCTGGATAAAACAAGCGGTCTGCAGCACAGGAGGAATCCCCAGGCTGTTCTAACACCTTCTTCTCTTGGCATCCTCCCTCTGAGGGACAAAGCCACAGAGGCATAAGCACAGAAGCTCCTCAAAATCTTCATGGTCGTCTTCTTCAGACTATCTTTTCTCTCCCACTTCTGGCTGGCCAGGAAACAGCCTGCTGGGGCCTGCATCTGTGCGGCTTATGTGTGGATGCCCAGCACAGAAATAGAGTTTCCTGCCTTGCTCCAGGGCCCACACACAAGCTTTGCATCCTCTATCAGCCATACTTGAGTCTGCTAGATTTCAATGAAATATGATGGAGAGACAGCTTAACAAACAGTTTGACTACAGACAGACTTTTCCAAGGGAAGGGCTTTAATTCCATTCATAAAGACAGGTATTTTTTTCTTTCCCAGTACAGCTAATTCATAACATCAGTAACATCGAAAATTTTCACGTAGTCAAAGCAGGCAGAAATGTGCACGGATGTTAGGGCACACAACGCTTGGATGGGTTCTTTTTCCCCTCCGACTAAAACTGTTTTTGTTTTGGTGACCATGTACATTGGCTACACAAAAACATACTCTGTGTCCATCTCTCTGCAGTTACCGGAATGAAGACTCCATTAAGGCAACTACTACTATAGCCAGGTACCCAACAGGTATACACAGTGGATTAAGAACAAAGAAGTCACATTTGTTGTGTAGCTCTCTGTGGGGTTTGATGGGAAAGGAACAGCACAGTGGATGTGATTCGTATTTAAAATGCACGGACTGACCTTCGGTCAGGCAGCAAACTGCCAGTTTACTGTTCATCTGCAATAAAAGTCAGGGAGAGAGAGAAGCTGATAAACTGTGTAAAAGAACTAGACCCCACTGCCAGAGAAACTGTTTTGGGTTTGTATATTTTTAATTCTTGGTTATTTCTATTTATTCTTTGCTCTCCTCTTATACTTAAAGCCATGAAATCACAGCCTAGGTGCTTCCAAGAACTGGAACTGGCCCACCTCTGCCCTCTCCTCCCTCCAAGCTACAAACAGATTGCTTCTACAAACCAAAGCCTGCTCTTCAAACATCACCACTGACTTCTGTTCTGGGGTTCTTCTAGCCAGAAGAAACTAAGTCTGTAGTAGGAGGAGGTGGATTCTGGAGCCTCCGAGGCTGGCTCTGTGGTTAGAGCTGTGCCCAAAGGGGTGATCTGCAGCATCCACAACTGACAGACAGGTTGTAAGATTTCAAAGAGCTGATTTGGCAGCTGCTGTGTCTTACCTCGCCTAGCTACAAACCCGCGTGACATCTTATTCCTAAACACAAAACACTGCACACTATGAGAACTTCACATTGAGCACAGGGTCAACAAAGGGAAAGGAAGGCAGTGGGGAAGGAGCAAAGGAAAGACGTCCCCTCTGAGCCTTGCATTCGGGTTCACACGAGTTCACACACTCTTCATTATTCCTAAAACGTGGTTCCAGTATTGCTGTTCTGGCACGTGCAGAACTTTCCTGAAGTTAGCATCCAGCCAGATGCACCAATATCTTATTTCCCTTCATGGATTCAAGACATGGTTCCTAACAAAGCAATCAAATTACAGAAACACCATGAATTATTTAAGTTTAGACATTCATTTCCCATAAACAAAAAGAAAAACCTGCGACTTGCAACTTCTTTTGGATAGGTTTCAAAAACTGAAATCCATGGGGCCCCTCTGAAATGACAAGTATCTTGGGGGGGAGCTGTTTTTTTATTCGTTTGTTCGTCAACGAGGCTCTCCAAAGTAACAGCGGCAGGAAAACTCCTCATAAATAACTTCAGTCTTCTGGTGGTTTCAGCATGTCCCAGTTGGCATTTCCAGGCCTCTCCCCTTAGAGCGCAGGAATCAGTCCTCTTGGATTGCACTTTCAGCACACAACATAGCACTGCTGACGTCTGAAGTCCTAGGGATAAAGGCCTCAGTGGGTTCCAGCTCTCACACGGCAGCCAACATCCTCCACTGAAAGCCGTGGTAATTCTCTGCTTGACAGATCGGGCTTTTCGCACGCCCTCAGACAGCTCCGGCGGATCAGCGCCGCAGCCTAAGAAAGAACGCGTGCTTGCACTCCTTGCTGTCTAAGGGATAGTATTTGTCATAGAAATCCAGAATATATTCTTCAGTCTTAAATCCAAATTTTTGGTAGAGCAGCATAGCAGGGTTGCTTGCAGAGACGTGAAGGGTTACGTCTTTGCCCATGCAGGTCTGCCAAGGGAGGGGGGCGGGGAGGGGGGAAAAAAATCACAGCAAGAGAATGAGACAGCCTCTGGGGGAATGCGGAGGTGAAGAGATTCATCAGTTCAGGTATTCAAGTTACTGAGGAAACATGAGAAAAGCACAGGCCTCGACACAGACGTTACCACACATAGCAACAGCTGAAAGGCGAAGAGAACGCTGCTCTTTCTCAGAGCCTTTGTTTCTGGGAAACGTGGACTCTGACAATGAAAGCAGGTTTTGGATTATAATTTGTCAGCTTTCCATTGTCAATTGCTAAGTAATTGTTACTTAAAAATAATCTCAGTGTACAGCACTGATCTCAAATACTTAATAACAATGGCCTGAAGAAAAGACAAAACATGCCAGAGGATCAGGCACCGCGCTCCTCCCCGTCAGCAAACAGAGCCGAGCTCTCTGGGACCGCGCGAGCAGCCCCAGCGCACCTCTGGGCTGTCACGCTGGAATTCCTGTCTATCCCACCCAGCTCCTCTCCCATCCTTCAGGGCATAGCAGAGAAGGCAGGGAATTCAGTTCAGACAGCAAACAGCATGGCTGAAGTTACCTTAAAGTTCCCAGATTATTCTAACCTGCAGCTCTCTGACAAAGACGCTGATACAATACAATAACTTCTTCTTGCTTTAATCTAGTGTTTTAATAACGTTCTATGTAAATTGAATGTATTGTAACTCTAGGTGGGAACATAACACCCTTTAGAAAATTTTCAGGCTAGATCATTCAAAGGGAAAGCTCTTACAGGAATTTAAGGGGGGGAAAAGGGAAAAAAATATAATCGGGAGCCATTTGCGGGAAAGGAAGTTGGAAGGAGATCATTAAGAACATGCAGCGTGGTCCTCTGGGCCAGCTGCATTAGAGGGTAACTTCTGACAACAAACCCACCATCAAGGCACCATTTGTATCAACGCATTTTCTGTTATGTTATGCTGTTCCCAAGAATTCATCCCCAAACTCAGCATGCTGATCCAAGAGCCAGAGAATTACCTTCAATCCATACAGCGTATGAGGGTGGCTCTAGCTACAGAGAGCAGGCAGCCAGCAGGCTGCGAAGCAACACCTACGATCTGGCGACTGAGGAACAGAAGGCCACAACCACCGTTTCCTCTCCTACACAACTAAATGCCTTCTACCACTGACAAACAGTCAGCAATGGAAAAATAAATCCAATGTGATTGTAATGGTGATCTTTCACTGCTAGTGAGCCTAATCAGCCTCAAATAGGCCTGGGTCTCTTCAATGTGATAATTTTATGCCAGTCTGCCTTCAAGCAGAATTAGGTTAATTGGCTGTGATACATCCTACAAAAAGCTGTGATAATTTTCTACAGCTGACTTGCCAACACATCCCAATTCTGCTGGAGAGACATGAGTCCAGCTGCTGGATCCCTGCAAACCCTGGCTCGTCGCTCGCGCCTGTTCTCATGAGGTGTTGACATCTCACATCAACGGGCTACAGTTGAGGGCAATTTACTTAAACGCTTTACAGAGAGACGCTGGGGAAATGTAAGGGGTGAATTTAAAGTAGGTTGGTTAGTGGCCTGTGTCAACATGTAGAGCAGGGAGAGGTGGACGCTGCAGAGAGCTGTGTACATAGAAGAGTTATCCTCAGGTGGCCCAGAAGAGCTACCCTCAGTGGAAGCTGCTTTTCCAGGGTACAGATCACTGTTCCCCAGGCTCTGCCAGCACTCCCTACCTCTCTTCCAACAAATGAGTATGAGGAAAAACAGTTTCAATGGCGAGTTTTTGCTAGCGCGGCTCATCTTGACTAAAACAAGTTAAGGAATGTTTCGCACCGGCAGCTCCGCCAAGAGAGTTCAGGGAGTGGTAAAACTGTGGGCCCCGAAGAGGCACAGCTGGGCTCTGAAAATGCCATCTGTCTGCATCCTCACTCCAAAATTAAGCTGGCTTTCCTGCAATTTAATTCAAGAAAGTGAATGGAATTAAGGCCACCTGAATAACAGTATTCATTCAGAGATTTCATGAAGTTTAACTGCTTTAATACCACCTGTTTAGTTAGCTCAAATTAATTTTCCCAAGTGTCCCTGTGGAACAAAGCCCAGTACAAGCCAGTCTGAACAAATTTGACTGAGGTTGCCAACACTTATTCTTTATCTTCAGCTCAGCTGGATTTGAACCAGAGTATCAGAAGTGAAAGAGAATGATTAAGATCAGTAAGTGATTTAATACAACGGCCCTGGTCACGGAATAAACCTCCAGGTGCAGCCAAGAAAGCTGCAATAGATTCTAACCGAACCTTCCCCCTATTATCTCATTTTCTCCTTTGAACCCCACATTTACAGTATTACTCTTACGTGAACTATTGGCCACTGCAGAACACAACGTTAATCCCGAGACAGTCTGGGTCTACAGCATCTCACTAATTCTGAGGACCTAACCAGCATGGTTATTCTTCTAAATACATTTTAGCTTCTGCTTTTGATTTCCCCCCATAAATGCTCATGGGCTGCTGACAATCTGTGCAGATGTGTAAGCAAAGAAAGAGTGAGGCGAAAGCGACAGAAAGGAGGAACACAACACTTCTTACTTTCTAGTATTTGCATGTGTGTACACAAGAAGGGAGAGCTACTACTTTAGCAGAGACATGGGATTTTTTTCATTACCTGGATAAGATGGTAAATCATGAAGGTTGCAATCCCAGCTCTTCTCCACTCAGGGTGAACTAACAGAAAAGAGATGTAAGCTTCATTGTATTTCACGTCTGGCACCATAAAGCCAAAGGCAATAATAACTTTCTTGTAAAGGACGACAACGCTGAAGTCTGGATACTGCAGGCATTCTGACAAATCAATTCCTACGGACAAAAAGAGAAAAGGCAGTTGAAAGCACTGTGAACCAAAAGAAAAGCAGACTATACTGCGTCACACTTGCATGGAATTTCAGCGTTTTAAGGGCTTTTAGAAACACTCATTTTATCCCTTCCTTTTACCTTTTTTTCAAAGCTCTGAGATCAAGAGATTCTTTAACCAAACATGCTGAGAAAATGAGACATGCTTACGAGTGAGGATTCTTGCATGGAGAAATTAACAACGCTGATTTCCTCCCAAATGACTCAATGATGAAACCAAAACTCTAAAAGCATGTTCTCTAAAGCAGGAGTTTTTTAAAAAAATAAATATTAAAAATAATCACACGATCTCAGCACACAACTAATCTTTCCTTGGTTTCTATTCTGAGCCATGTGAGCAGACTCTGCTAAGGACCCGGTTCTAAATATGCATGTGGATAAAGACACTTGCATGTGCAAATGTTTCCTGGATTGGGTCTTAGTAAATCTGTGCCCCTTGCCCGGGGCTCCTAAGGGCTGCAGAAACATTAATGGGTAAGGGTTTGCTTCTTCATTCCACCTGGGCTGGGCCAGCACCAGGCTGGCGTAGACCATTCCCATTCCAGTCAGCAAATGCCAAGGACCTGCCTGCAGAGAAGCAAAAGGGGAAAGGGGGGCAGTTTATCAGCCCAAAGCGCTGGGTGAACCATCCCGTTCTTCCTGCAGACTCTCTCCAGATACAGCAGAGGTGAAACTGGCCTTCAGCTTTGGTGGAATTACCTGCCTAAGGTTCCCATCTCTTTTCTCCACCTGTCCTCGAGCTCCTGCTGCTTCCTCTGGTGCATACTCAGCTGTTTGTGGAGCTGCACCGTGAGCATGACCACAGCTTTCAATGCTATCAACACATTTGCTTTTAGCATGCAAATTCCTTAACTGGGGCATGAAGCAGCCTCTCAGGCAGCGGTGCTTCTGTGAGTCAGAGGCCGCACAGAAACGCCTGAGGCCGGTGACTTCTGAGTGGAGTTTTTTACCTTGCCTAATCAGGTTGCTGCCGGAGCATAAGAACATCCACACAGCATGTTAGGGCCAAGCAGCGCAGTTCAAGGCACAGAGGACTGCTCGGCAATCTGTGTGGACAGGCCCTAAATGAGGTGCAAGACATAGCGGAGCTGTGCCATAAACGTTAGTTTCAGCCTCAAATTGGCAGTCGCAGATATATTTGGAACGTGGGATAACAAAATAGCAGAGTACGTTTGTTTTCCAGTAACGTTGATCACTCTTGATGAGATGCAAGACTTCATAAGGCAGCAGGCACAAATAAGCGGCTGAATTACTTTATTGCTCGAGAGTAAGCTGGGTGGAGTAAGATGTGGGAGGAATCGATTGGCAATAGGGAGCTGCGTTAATTATCTCAAGGCTGCAGTTGACTGTGAAGTGCCTTACGGCATGTCTGTACAGGAATGCTACATGGCCCTGAGCACAGCGGTGTCGATGAAGTGGTGCCGTCCCCTCAGCGCGCAGTTATTCCTGTAGGAAGATGCTTAGCTCAGTACGGTTTACCACTCGTCTGCTGGGGAGATGTTTCCTGTTAGGGCATGACGGCACAAGATACCCGTGAGAGACAAGAAGAGGGAATCTTGCTTCACACCAGCTCATCTACGGTAACTACCTGTGAACTTGTTTCTGCCTCATGAGAAACAAGAGGAGCTCTGACAGGGAAAGGATTTGGAGAGGTGGAAGAGCTAAGGCCTGGGCTCACTCCACCTGGTGAAGTGCCTAAAACTTCAGTATTCAGCCAATGAGAGCATCACTATCAGCAGGCAACTGCGTGCTCCAAAGATGTCATTTACTGACGATAGCCTCCCCCAAGCACACATGCTTCGGATGCCTAAACTTAGGCGAAATTACAGCTATTTCTCTGAACATCAGTGCTAGCTTAATGACGCCCTCCCAGCTGCATATCCTCCTCAGTCCTACCGGCCCACTGTGAAGCTAAACCCTTCGTGTCCACAAAGACAGTGTGCTTTATTTCCTAAGTATCACGTCCTCCCTTACCTCTCCTGTTAAAACAGAACCAAGGTGCAAAAAAATCATACAATCCCAGCCTCGGAAAATTTACACCATGGAAAAGGTTTGTTTCCTGTTTGGAAACCGATGGGAGTGTCAGCTTTCTGATTTAATGATGAACTGTCCGCAGTCGGGTGGAACACACCCATGCTCCTTACATTAAATCGAACAGGGTGAGTCCTGAAGAACTTAATGAAGGTGCAACCACCAACTTGGCCAGAACTTCACATGCCTTATCGGA